GTACGAGTGGCAGGTTCTTCCATTCGGTACAACCTGTAGCCCCTGTTGTGCGACATTCGCAGTACATTGACACGTTTTTACTCATTGTCAGCTGGGTGATAAGTTACGACAGTCAGTTGAACGCTGATTTTATGTCGACAACTGTTTACAGAGCACTGAATCCTCAACTGAAGCCCAGGAGTTGATCGATGGGTTAAGGTCCCTATGGCTTCAGGTGGGTTTGAAATCCATCAGTGGGCGAGCAACGAGGCCTCAGTGGTTAGCCATCTCCCCAAAGAGGCTAGATCAGAGAACACTGAGTTGTGGATTTCCTTCAGCCAATCAGATCCTCAAGAGATGACCCTGGGATTAAACTGGCGTTGAGTACCAGACACCCTCCATTACCGCCATCGTCCCCTATCCTACCATGAGGTAACAATGAGAAACATCTACTGTGTTCTCGCTAGCCAGTACGACCCCTTGGGTTACATAATACCTTTCACAACCAGGGCCAAAACTGTGACAACTGTGAGTGAAGGAAAGAGAATGGGATGACCCCCTTCTTCCTTCAGAACTGCTACAGGCCTGGCAAAAATGGGAAGCAGAACTGGAACATTTACCACTGATCACCATAACTCGGTGTTATGTGCCAGCCATGCTAGATGTCCCAGAGGCAGAACGAGAACGTCAGATCTTCTGCGACGCCTCTGAGGCAGCCTATGGGTCAGTAGCATACCTCCGTACTGAACACCAAGGCCAAGTGGAACTGGCATTCATCCACGCCAGATCAAGAGTATCTCCAAAAAGACAACAATCAATGCCTAGGCTTGAACTCTGCGCCGCCCTCACAGGAGCACAGTTAGCCAAGATACTTCATAATGAGCTCTCATTGGAGATTAGGAACACATTCTTGTGGAGTGACTCAACAACATTTTTAAGTGCATGATGACCCGCTGTGTCCACTTGGATTTACTGAGTAACATGGATACAGACTCCTTTCTGATGGCCCTTAGGCGTATGGTTGCTCGACGTGGAATGCCTTCTGAAATCCTGGCAGAACAGGGCACCAACTTTCGAGGAGGTGATAAGGAGCTACAGACAGCTTTCGCTTCCATGAGCCCACATCTCCAAAGCCAGTTAGCGAAACAGAAGATCCAGTTTCATTACAATCCCCCAAATGCCCCACATTTCGGAGTTATGTGGGAGCGTGAAATCCGCTCAGTTAAAACTGCCCTGTATACCACCATCGGGTCCCAGACTTTCACAGAGGAAGTCCTCAGAACACTCCTTATAGAAGTTGAGGCTATACTCAATGCAAAGCCATTGGGGCATGTTTCTTCTGATGTAGCGGATCCAGATCTGGTGATCCCAAATTACCTGTTGATGGGGCGCCCAGATGCATCACTATCACAAGTGATTTACCCAGAATCCGAAATTCTTAGTCGGAAAAGATGGCGGCAATCACAAATACTGGCAGATCAGTTTTGGACAAGTTTTATAAACAAACATGGATGAGTGATTCCAGCAACCTCACACCTGGGACTGTTGTGATGATAATTGACTACCAACTTCCCCGAGCTCTTTGGCCTGTCGGCAAAGTAGTTACCATATACCCTGGATCAGATGGCTGTGTCCGTTCTGCAGAAATTGAAGTAAAGAACAAGCACTACCATCGACCAGTGTCTCGTCTCATCACACTGCCGCCATCCCAGATAATGACCCTGCAGCAGACTAAACAAGGAGGATAGAAAGTATATTTGCATAGCATAGCAAATGTAGGGGCGGCTGTAGAAGAGGAAAGTCAACTGCGCCATCTGCTGGACACTCTTAGGCATCCATGTTAACAAACGTCCAGGCCACCGTAGTTATCATGCACCAATCACGCGAAGGGACAACCAATCAAATCACCGCATTGTCAGATGACTGTTCAAATAGAACCTTTTAGCTTTGTTCTTGCTCGGTCAGAAAGAGATGGTTCGTGTGTTGTTTTCTCCTGATTCCTGTCGAAGTTGTGTGCGTTAATGACCAAAAGTAAGAGTTTATTTTAGGGATGCACCGATACCACTTTTTCCAGTACTGGCCCGATACCGATACTTTTATTTTTGGTACTTGCCAATTCCGAGTACCGATACCGGTATTTTTATTGCATTTGTAAATTTTTTAAATATTGGTGTAATAATGCAGGGAACCACTCGTTATAAATCTCCTAACTGTGATATTTTCAGAAATAGATGTCGCATTTTTTTCATCTGAAACGTGCTGCGATTTATATTCCAAAGCCACTCATATAATGCAGAAACACTCAAGCAAGCAAAACGCGCAACGCGTGCAGGTATTTGTACTGGTGCAGAATGAGAGGACAGTAGTACAGTCTAGCATATTTCACACAGGCTGCTAGATTCACTTTCGCCTGAAAGTCGTGTATGCCTAAGGTTGAAAATAAATGATGTTTATAGTGAATGCCCCTATAAATGGTCTTATTTTTACGATTTAGTTTTAATCCAAATGATGCGCGTGCTAAGTGAGTGAACATCAAAGATCACACAACAGAAGTGTGCGCGCTCTCTCTCTCTCTCTGCCTCTCTCTCGCGCGCTCTCTCCCTACCATTAAGTAATTTGTGCATTGTTTTACTTACTTGTTTTTTTACATATCCGACCGAACTACAAACTTTCCAGTGATGTCTGTGAGAAAGATATATTCACTCGACAAGCTTGCGCATCTGCGCCGCCGCACGCTCAATCCACTCAGCGCGCTTTGTTTATCAGCTCGTGCACATCAGCTATACAGGCGTTAATACTGAATGTTTAACATTATATTCATTGCATACATATACTTCGTAGCAGACATCCTTAACTCCTTTCTGCTGTCTGTTGTTCTGTTGTCGGTGTTTCTTTGAATATGGCGCTTATCACATGCTGTGTGGTATTGTCGTTTGGTATCGGGGCATTTTAACAAGTACGAGTACAGGAGACCAGTATCGGGTCCGATACTGATACCAGTATCGGTATCGGTGCATCCCTAGTTTATTTATCTTGTACAGTGTTGTTAATGCTGATTAAGATTATTTGTCGAGATGTTTTATATATAAGATTAGACAGATGCGCGGAAGACCGGTGGCCCTGCATGAGCGATCGTTTATGTAAACATAAGCGCTGTAAATCAAATATGTATACATAGAATCATCATATTTAACTCATTAATGTGATTGTGAGATATTTCTGCCTAATTCAAATGTTAGTTAGTTCAGAAGTGTGGTTAATCTGTCAAATTTACACTTAATGTATATCTACCCATGTTTACATATGCTGTTTAGTTTCTAAAGTTTATATGCTTAAGGATGCACATTATATATGTATACAGGGATTAAAGTTCCATTGCTACAATGGATTTCCGTCAGTTCATAAAGACAGTCACTTGCTTAATTCCTGAATGATTCAGCCGTTCGAACGAATCATTTGAATAAATGATTCAGTGATAAAATCAGTGACTTGCCGCCACCTGCTTTTAAAACATTAATCTCGACATTAATTTATGAATTTAATTGCACTCATGCTACCTCTGAGCCTCATTAAACGTCTGAAAATGTACTTACAAGCCACTTTTGTGTTCTTCTGTGCCACCACTGTAGTACATATTAATTTATTAATACTAATTTCATATGATTGGTAACTTATTTGTCTTATTCTACATATTGTTTTAAATATAAATTTTTAAAAAGATTATAAACATACATTTTTGAATTTGACATAGATAAAAATGATGCCATTGCAAAGGTAAAAAGAAAATACTCCTGTAAGTCACTTTAAGGAGTCAAATGTCACCTCGTATTAGGAAGGCTAATTTTTGATCGGAATTTTTGATTATTGATCAGAAGGTGCTCCTAAATTTTTTAATTAGGAGGACAAGCGCTCCTAATTACAAGAAGAAAAAAAACTGCTCTTAAACTGGATGTGTGACAGGTAGGCTATGGCTGAGGAATGGGGGTTGGTCGAAGAAAAATTTTCAGTCAAAAGATTTTTTTTTTTGCTTTAACCCCTGCAATATAATAATAAGTAGAATAAGACAAATAAGTTACCAATCATATGAAATTAGTGTTCATAAATTAATTTGTACTACAGAGGTGGCACAGAAGAACACAAAAGTGGCTTGTAGGTGTATTTTCAGACGTTTAGTGAGGCTCAGAGGTGGCATGAGTGCAATTAAATCCATAAATTCATGTGGAGATTAATGTTTTAAACATAACATTTTGAATACAGAAATATGATTTAAATAACTGAAATTATACACTAAAAATGAAAGTAAATCCGCCAGTAGGTGGCGGCAAGTCACTGATTTTATCACTGAATCATTCATTCAATTGATTCCTTCAAACGGCTGAATCCTTCAGGAATGAAGCAAGTGAATGTCTTTATGAACTGACGGAAATCCGTCGTAGCGACGGAACTTTAATTGCTTTATAGTACTGCGTACAGCTTTATATCTGAGGATGTAATCTGATGATTTACATTTGATAATGTTATCCTGTTTGTTCTAATCACTTAATTTATGTAATTTTATTTCTCCTTTCCTTATAGACCACACACACATATACCCACACGACCATGCACAAGTTTGTATAGACCAATGGCTATCCGTACCAATGTAACCAGTAAACTTGATGGACATTAAAGTAAATTAACTGGAGTTCCTGTCTCCGTGTCCTTACCGACACTCCATGGTGATGACCAAGTATACCTAAGAACCAGCACACCTTCCCTTCAAAAAGTATTCTAAAAGATTCATTACAAGTCTTCTAAAGCTATACGATAGCTGGTGTAAAGAACAAGGTTAAATGAGTAGGGCCAATTAATCGGTTAAAATTTTCTGCACCGTGAAGGCTGTCACATTCATATCATGTCACGATGACAACATTATAAACATATTTTCCCATATTTCATGATGATGATGCCCTTCTGAACAGTATATTTACATTGAATGCTCATCGGCACAATACCTGCCGTGTCTGTATATATGACGAACAGAGCTTCTGGACATGCGCCTTGGAAGCGGCTGCAGGTTGTATCTGGTGAACCTTGCTGGAACTATTGCTGACTTGTTGGGTTTTGAAAATGAACCTAAACTGTGTTAAAAATTATAGGTTTGCATGGCATATAATTCCTTTGAACTTTAATGTGTGAATGATTAGACTAGCTGACAATCATTAACTTTAAGATTTAGGTAGAGGTAGCCTATATGTAGCTATAATATGGTTTTATTTATTTTTTTTGCTTTTTTGGAGAATTTTGTCCTGTCTTTTTTTTTTCAACATGTTTAGTGTTTGAAAATTATTAGACTACATTTGACAAAAAAAATCAAACATGCATAAATTGGAGACGAATTTACTGATAATGCAACATTATGTGAATAATATATCAAATTGTATTCAAACAACAAAGCCCATTCAGTCAATGACATTACTCTCTAAGACTATTTTAGTCTTTATATTGTAACCTAATGGAACCACTGAAAAATGTACAAAGGGACTGCTCAGAGATGAAGATACATTTTAGATATAGAAGGTTGACTTTCAATAAAAGTCAAAGCAAATGTGCTGTAGGCCAAATATGCATGCATATTTTACAGGGGATCAGTGAGTTGAAGAAAGGATATTAATGTATCCAGGCCCGTAACCAGCTATGAGGCCACCGAGGTCCGGACCTCTGTAAATGTTTTATGTTCAAAAATAAAAAAATGTCTTTGAATGATTAATTTGCTGTTAAACTCCTTATATGAATGCCTGCATGACATGTATAATTCAGTTGAGACAGTTTGCAAGAATGTTTAGCGTCTGATCGATAAAATGATCGCTGCGAGACGCTGGCGGAGTGAACGAGGCTTGAGAGAGTTGTGAGTGAGGGCACAGGCGCAGATCCAGCTATTATAAGTGTTTTTGGACTTGTCTTTTTCACTTAATTTAACACTTTAGAAAATTAAAGGGGTCATATGATGCGATTTCAATTTTTCCTTTCTCTTTGAAGTGTTACAAGCTCTTGGTGCATAAAGAAGATCTGTAAAGTTTCAAAGACTAAAGTCTCAAATCCAAAGAGATATTCTTTATAAAAGTTAAGAGTCAACCACACCTACCTAAAACGGCTCGTTCTAGCACGCCCCCACATGTCTACGTCATGATGTGGGAAGATTTGCATAACGCCGCCCAAATGTTCACGCAAAGAAAGAAGGCGTAACTTTTATTCTCGCTGTAGTATTGTTGCTGCCGCCATGTCGTGAAGGCGCTGTGTGTTTCGTTGTGAAAGTGAAACTACTTTGTTTGGCCTTCCAAAAGAGGACGATATCCGCTTCGTCATGCCTAGAGCTGACTCACTCTAGCCCTCCGGCCGCCGCTCACTCTAGGCCGCCGTGTGTTTCGTTGTGAAAGCGAAAGCACAGCACTCCATGTGGACACACCAGTACATGGTTCCATGGTCGACCCCTCCCACTTTAGAGACCTAAATACAAAAAAAAATTAAAATAAATAAATAAAAAAAACAACAACATTCAAATGACAGTTTACACAAAAATAACACAAACAAGCCCAGCCACTGGCATAAAGGAAGGAAACAAAATGGCCAAAAGGAGGCAGATTACATAAATTTAGCCTCCCAGCTAACTTAAGCACAGAACAGAGCAATCCTGTGCCAGTGCTTCTAACACAAATAAATAAAAAAATAAACATACAAAAATAACAAAATGGACCAAGGTGAGTCCCAGACAAATCTGTTAAAACTTTAAAGGAGACATATTATGCCCCTTTTTCCAATATGTAATACAAGTCTCTGGTGTCCCCAGAATATGTCTACAAATTTTCAGCTCAAAATACTCCACAGATCATTTATTATATCATTTTGAAAATGGCCATTTTGATTGAAAGCAGAAACACGCTGTCTCTTTAAATGCAAATTAGCTGCTGCTCCCCGCCCCCTTTTCCAGAATAGAGCTGCGCCATTACAGCTAAAACCTGTAATTACCTGCTAAAAAAAAACAAAAAAAAAACAGTTTATCGCGCTGAAATCATGCGTTTTAAACCATATGAGTTTAAACTCCTGATATACGTTTTTCTGAGAGCACACATCCGAAGCACACGTACAGAAAGCGGCTGTCACAGCATGCGAGTACTAAACCAAGTTCTCATTCACACACAAATTTGTTAAAAACACACGAGTTACAAAAACGGTTGGTTATGTCTGTGAAGGTAAACAGCTGGGAAATAAAATCACATTTTAGATCTGTGTGGCAGCAGCAATATACATTCAGCGTTTCCCCTGCCATTATATTAGGCCCTGCCTCCGTGTTGCCAGATCCAGCTAATATAAGTATTCTTGGACTTGCTTTTCCACTTAATTTAACACTTTAGAAAGTTAATAAAGTAGGAAGCTGCTGTTTAGAGTAAGCGATATCTTGCTCTTATTTGCAAAAGATTTCGAAATAATTTCGGTTTATTTTTAGTTTTTTTGTTTGTTTTAGTATCAATATCTGGCAACACGGCATCGCCGGCACTTAAACTGAAAGCAATCAAAAAAGCCCATTGACAGGTTTTTGCTGACAGGATACGACATTCTGTAAGGGAAACGCAAAAATGATCATGATATTATCTGTCATAAACGTTATGTCAAAAACAGTAGCATTTAACACTAGTACACACAGATCTGTAGAACAAGTAGGTTACAGAATGAAATGAAATATGCACAAACTAGCCATGAAGAAGTCTATGCTATGCCATTCATTATATTAAATTTTCACAAATCATGCTATAAACTTTCAAAACGGCACTAGACAAAGTTATTGTAGTTATGTATTGTTGCAATAAACAACTGATAAATGTATATAATGAGTTGTATTTGTAGGGGTTATTATAACACAATTCTTTAACACCAACCCCCCCCACACACACACACACACACACACACACAGCCCCCCGGACCACGCTAATTTTCAAAGCCTGGGTATGGCCATGAATGTATCCATATTTCATCTTGGTAATGGTAATGCTTCTCAAGCAAGTCAAAATAAATTGTATAATTAATTCACGGTGATTTTAAGTCTGAAAACTCATTGCAATTTTTTACAAAATTCATTTCAAAACTAAATAAATTAATGAATTTTATAACCAATGGTTTCCTTAAAAAAAACACTTTTGTGAAGGAAAAAGAAAGAAAGTAAACAAACTATATAATTAATGTCATTGTTTGGGTCTCTGAGAGTTTAAGTAGATGCAGGGCAATCATTTGCAGGGGTTGTTCCATTTAGGCCCATATCAAGTAGGTTTAAGACGCACAAAGTAGGATGCGACATTTGGCCAAAGTAATGCCATCCCAGTCATCAGTATGAGCCATTGCGTCATGGACCATAATAATACTCAGACATCCCCAGATAGTGCATTCATTCAACCCCCCTCTCTTTAATCCTTTGTCCTGCTTTTCCCTCCCGAAGTCCAGCACCTGAATGTGCAACTCTGTGCCGGGTTGCTTAGCGACGTCGAGTGGCGTTTCTGAGCCAAGAGATCCACTTGTTAAATCGAGACGTAATGTAACACTGACATCTTCCTCCAGCGACCGATCAATAATGCCAACAGGTGTTTTGTTTTTATTCGTGGCGGATATGTGCACGTATGTTATTTTATCAGCATTTTGGTCAATTGTTTTTAGAGTGATCGAGCGCTCAAGTTCTGGATAGGAGCAGATGGCAAACTCTCATAATCTGCTTTGCTCAGAGTGGCCACGCGCTCCTTGAATGCATCATGCGCCGAGGTAAGAATATAGCATAGATTGTTTTCAGTGTCACGTATGGATCTTTAATGTGCCTCTATTTCGTTTATATTTGCGTGTATGTATTAAATTAGTTTAACGCGACATATTTCTTTATTCACTGAAGACTAATCAAGACGTTCAAACACAAAACAGCCTGTGCTTTTGTTCATGGAAGTGAAGGGACGCATTATTAGGGTTTCAGACTAATGAAAAATGTCAGAATAAAACGTTGGGGCTTAAAAGTATGTGTTCTTTTACATATCTATATATTTGTTTCAACAGCGTTTTCAAAAAACGTTTCAGTTACCACAAAAGTTTGTCAGAGTACGCTAAATAGACGCGGGGACAGAAGTCGCGTTAACCTGAGGAGGTAACCATAGTAACAGTCTACCGCTCGAGAGCTTTCCGTTAAGTGTCGGACGGGAAAATGACAAAATGCCATTATCACTGAATTACATATTTATATATTACAAATTATAATAACAAAACTTAATTGTATTTGACGGGTAGCTATAGAGGCACCAAAAGACTATTCTTATCACGCGGTCGAGGAGAAAGTTACCGATAGAAATTAATTTAAAACGTCGACTCCCTGAAAGTCTTTGTATAATTGGCACACGGTTGAAGAGGACAACATTTCCCAAGGGGTTTCTTGTTATTTTTCTTCATTCTGATACGAAGTAAGATTGGCTTCAGCAACCTGTTGAAAGTATTGGCAAATTGCCCGCTGCGATTGTGACATGAGCAAGGTTGACGACAGTTGAGTTCGTACTCAATCATCAATCTTGTAGACTGTTACTCTGGATTTATGCGTTTTTAAAAAGGCACTATAAACCCACCTGCTTTGTTTTTCACCTCTCTAGTGCATGCATTTTATGTCTTCACTGTACACCATTTTAGAGCGGTTATTATAATTCTCCTCTTTGCAATGCCACTTGAATTCAAGGTAGATGTTACTGAAATAAAACCATGCTCAGTGCAATTCGGATGCACCGGCAAAAGTAATTGTTAAGCTTTTCTTGCATCAAGTGGAATCCTAAGAGCCTCAGGAAGGGTGTCAGGATATAATATTTTTCATAAATATGTTTTCACATATGATTTTGCTCTTCCTTTCTCCCTTTGGTTTTCTACAGGACTTTGACGGGCCCAAATCCTAGCTATCATGTGAAGGCTTTGGCCTCCTCTTTGACATTGTGCCATTAAGCTGCGCTGCCTTACTCAAGGCACTGGACTGTAAAAATGTCACCACCGGCATGACCATCATTACTTATTTAAGATCACTACATCAGGAGGTAACATCGCCACCAACAACGAATTGGCTCCTTGGGCACAAAGGTGCTATGTTATTACTGTACACCCTAGGCTTTTATGCCTCCCTTGGCCTGGCTGCCCCCCAGGGCAACTTCCCTAGGCTCGAGAACATAGGGGCATATAAATCTGTCAGCACCATGCCGACGAGGGCCACATGTGGAATTCCTGAGAGAAGTACTTTCTGTCAAGCCGTCCAGGTTCAGGAGGATCTCCACACCTGTATCCAGAAGTTCTGTATCCAGGAGTGTCCGTATAGCTCCTCTACGCTAGACTACACCGACATCCTCGCCACAAGCGTGGGCGTGTGCTGGAAGGGTGATGCATGGGACCACCGTCCAGGCGCGGAGGCCGATTCCACCAGCTTCATCTTTCCGACCTCGAGAGGTTGTCCGGCTTCCCCGTCGACTCTAAGCTTCGGCCAAGCGAGCTCATTTACTCTAACGATGTGGCTGAAACTCGAGCAAGACACTGTAATGTAAGTAGACACACGTCCAGAATTTTCCCTTAAGAAGATCAGAGAGGCAGTGCAAGTGTTTCTGTCACTTAGAGAGTGAATATTTTACTTAATCATCCGGATCAGTTTCAATACCTGCTCCGTACCAGGAAAAGAATGACTTGTTAGAACACTGCTGTATGATCTAAACCTGATATGGATTAGCTCGGCTGCTCGCCTTGCCAGAGCTGGTTTTATTCAAACTAGCTTTCCTGTGTAGTTGATCCCCACTCAGCTGTTGGTTGTCGCCCCCTCATTTTCAGACATTTCCTCTGTTGTATCTCCACTTTGAAACTGTGTTGGTACATGGAACACATTCTGTGAGGAGTCCTGCCAAGTTGAAAAAGCTCTGAGCCCTGTTTGCTCTGCTCTGGCAAGACCAGCTGTGGCCAGTTTTAGATCAATGAAATGAAATTGCCACAGTGTTTCCTGAGCTCTGGCAAAAAAGCATCAACTCAAAGGCCACTTTGTTTTTCCACAGCATAGAAAATGATATAGTTGAAAGTGGGTGATGGGATGAAAGGATGGAGTCAGAGAGGCTGTAGAAGTAGAACAACTGTTTCAGCATTTTATATCAAGTGCAGAGCATGAAAAGAGAGAGAAAGCCACAAGCGTGTAGTGTTGAAAAATAAATAAGCAAGTACGTGCGGTCAAGGCGGTTCATTCGTCACATTCTCTCCTTGAAGCGGCGTGAGGCAGAGTCTACAGGCTTGCGTGTTTATTCTGTTCTTAGTGAATTAATTGGCCTGTGTTTAATACCTGCCTAAGATCCCCTTGGTAATATAACATAAAAATATACACCGCTCAGACGTAGTTTTTTGGAACACTTGCCTTAGTAGACATATTGAATACTAAAACGTTGCCTTCCCTGGAGAAGCCTGGCCTAATTGCAAGTGAAGCAGGCAGCAGAAGCGTGGCTATAGGTGAGATGTTTCTGACTCCGGGGCCAGCCGCAACCGGAGTACAAATGCTTTATGATTTATTGGATGCGGTGGCCTGTGTTCGTAAATGCTGCCGTTTCCCGTAAAACGTCTGTAATGGTGTTTCATATGACAGTGTATGAGGGTGTTTTCGAGTAACAAGAAAAAGCAAATGGAAAATATTGATACAACATGCATAAATGTCAGAGTGATGTTCATTTTAGATGTCAAGGAATTTCCCAGTAAAAATACATAATGCACAATCGAGAGTTGTTGGATTATTTTAAAGGTATTTTTAAAGGGGTATTGATTGTTTACTAATGTCTTTCACTGTTCCTATATGAAATAATGAGGTGCTACATATGAAGTTGCATTATGCAATTCAAAATATTTAATGTAAATTTAGGCCTGTTCTGGATATTCTTTTAAGTGGCTTATTTTGAGTACTTCAATTTCTCTCAGCCAATCATTAATGTTTGTTTTCCTAATGTGCAGGACTTTAATGGAAAAGAGCGCTGTGGGCAGACTGGTGCTGCTGGTGACAGTCTCCAAGGATGACATTCAGATCCACTACGGCATTCACAGCAAACAAAACTTCTCCATAAGCATGAAGACTGCAGGTCATATTAGCATAGGCCACTGGACACACATGGCTCTACAGGTAGGCAGAATGTTTCTATTCTCTTATTCTTTCCGTGGTCATTTATATGTGTCACATACTACTCAAGACAACATGACAGAATGTAACTTCATAATGTGATATCCAACTGTAAAGTCAAACTGAATATTTAGTGGGAAATAGGGCAGGACTTGATTTTATCCATCAGGATTTGTTTGGATCACTTTTGGATATACCGTGATGTTATTGTTTCATTTTTGGTTATGTTTACAGAAAAGAAAAGTTGTTTCAGGAGTGGAAAGTTACTGTATATTTTCAATAAGACTATGTATTAATAAAAAATTAAAATTGCAGTTGAAAATTGTCAAGCTATTTAATAGGGGTTCTCCGATTGATCGGCTACCGATCACTATCGGCCGATAATCACGTTGGGATGATTGATCGGCGGTCTCTTAAAAGGCCGATCTCAAAAAAACGATATCAAGCTGATGACGCTGCTGTGAGAGGTTTGGCACAACATGCAGCGGCACCGTCTCACAGAGCGGGTGAAATAATTATAATGCTGAAGGTGAGGTACTCACCTTCATATATCTTCATTAAATAACTTATAAAATAATTTGAAAACCTTGTGTGAGACGTAATTTCACAAACAGCGTGAGTGAATCACCACTTGCGCGCGCGCTCTCTCCCTTCCTCTCTCAAAAAACGCAAATGGCTTCAAATCACCACATCGCGTCTGTCTATAAACGAGCTGCACGCTGCACAGTTGACACAGGAATTGTCACTTGCACAATCGAGGCAGTGTCACATCGTCACTAAAGTTTATAAATTGCATCTGTCTATAAGCGAGCTGCACGCTGCACAGTTGACACAGGAATTGTCACTTGCACAATTGAGGCAGTGTCACATCGTCACTAAAGTTTATAAATTGCATTACTTTTTAATTCTTTCAAGTGTTTAATCATTCAGTGCTCACGCGCTCTCCTGGAGACCGCGCACTCACGCACACTCGCAGCGCACACACATAATGCCAAGTTCACATTATTCTGTTTGCAGTGCATAGGCCTACGTGGTGCATATTTTTTCCGCGCTCATGTTAACGGATTAAAGCGTTCACTGCACACGGTTGCGGTCCGGCAGTGCGTTCAGGAGCGGTGCGTCTGCAGCAGTGCAGAGATCATTTCTGCACCGAGTCTGTTGCTGCGCTGCAAGCGCTGAATTAAAGTAACAGCACATTTTTTTGCAGTAAATATGAACCTGGATTGACACGAAAATGTAGTAATTACACCATAAATGAATGGTAAGTTTGTGATAACGTAAGAAAAGTAGTTTAAATGTTTTGCCACTTGCTTGAGCAACTTAATATATAAATCTAGAAGTAAATGCAAAAGTAAAAACCATTTAATAATGTGTTGCTTATATTTATTGTGTTTAAACATCATCTGTGAAAGATTCTATTACTGTACTGTGTAAAAAAAGAATTGCAATGCTGAAAAAGCATTTCCATTGACAATGTTTGAAATCAAAATAATGGATAAATGTTGTGTTTGTGGTAAATAGCCATGGATCAGTAACAGACTCCTGTGTGAAAGCTGCTTTCCCTCTCACAAGAGTCACCTAAGAGGGGAATTTCCCCCATTTTCAAAAATGAAATTCAGGCCCTGAATAAATATCTAAAAATCCTGATTGGAGTATCACTATAAATAGTTCTAAATGATAAAAAGAAGGCTTTAAAAAGATCGGTATCGGTGATCGGTATTGGCAGATACTGCTTTCTGTGATCGGCCTCAAAAATCCTGATCGGAGCACCCGTACTATTTAATATGTTACAACTCAACTTACTGTTGCAATAGAAAATGCCTCAGGACAGAAAATTGTGTTTGTCAAACCATTTCATGATGTAGTCTAAATGGTTGAATTTAAATTTTTTTGTGAATTAGATTTTTCAGGCATAAAGAGGCTTGATGTGATCAAGATTATTTAAATATATATTGTACAATAAAGTACATCCTGCTTAGGTGTCAGTAGGGACGAAAATATTTTCTAGCATTGTGGAAGAAATCATATGATGTAATAAGCTTGGTCAGGTGTCATGTAGTGTTGCTCTGGCAACACTAAATCACCACCCATTCATATTTGAGGTAATTAGCCGCTGAAAAATATTGATATTAATATTGTGTCGGGAGAACTCAGGTTCTCGCTGAACCCATGTCACAACTGATTTCCACTTTGGACAAGATGCATGAATAGAAGGCGTTAATTACAGTGGTAAACATCTGCTTTCCTGCAGCTGTGAGGGCAGGAAGGGGGAAGAGAGCAGGTCAACCCCTCATACACCCCGCTCTGAATACATATCAACACACACACCAGGTCCAGTCGCTCCTGCTTCATTCCTGTCAGAAACATTCAGCTGCTTTTGCCTCTGCTTTGTTTTCAAAGAATGATTCGCATCCAGTGCAGCAATGCAAACATGAAGAGCACAAAACTGTGGAATTGCTGGGTCATGTTTCATTCTCAGCTTTCAGAGCCCTTTGCACTGACAAAGTACCAGTCAGTCCCATTAGGACTGGCTCTCTGGCATTGTTCAGCTTTGGAAATGGCAGCCTGTATCTCTGTGTCAGAAATGAAAGGAGAAGGAGCAGAGGATAAACTTGGCCATCATCAGGAAACAGAGTGCTGTGTCTGTGGAGAGCATTACCTTACAATAGTAGTGATTATTATGGCTTTAAATTGCAATCGTTCAGATTATGAATAGCAGGTTGACTTCTGGGACAGAAAACATTATTATGATAATGAGATCCTTCCCACGAATTCAGAGGTAATATGTTCCCTTCCTGTGACAGCCTTGACTTGGACTATATAAGAGATATTTTCTGTGCCCATTAGGAATTTAAACTGCAGACCGGCCACTGTATTCTAGGGACAAAATTAGCCTATTTTCAGCCTTAACTCTTCATGGTGGTCTACTTGCTGAGGACTATTACTGACACAGTCTCTAAGTACCTGGTTTCAGGCAAGCTTTTTTTCCCAGGTACAGAACTATCCCTTGAATATGATTAAGAAAAACATTACGTGTAAACATAAAAAATTATTGTTTGTAACTGTACAACACTGATATTAATGAATTATGCATCTGCCTTTTTTTAAAGTGACAGATAGACCTTTTAACTGTAAAATTACATATTTTCAATATCGACTAGTTAGTGGTTTACTTGAACAATTAATGATGTATAGTGATGCTGATTTAGGGTCAGACACCTATCAGATGCATTTCTTAGGGATATATTCATGTTTTAATAAGATAAATGACAGGTATTAAACACAGGATAAATAACTCTGACTCTTTATATACTCTACAAAAGTAGAGATATACAGATTATGCATGATATTCATATTATGATAGTTTGTGCAGTAAAAGATTGTTTAGCCTATTTATGCTGAATGTCTGTCTGTTAATCCTATTTAAAGGCTGTAAGAAACCCATTTCTGAGAAATCTCTTAATGTCACGATGCACACACACGAGGAATGAGGAGACCTCGGGAGGCCATGGCGGATCAGGGGCATCGGGAGGCCATGGCGCAGCAGGTAGTTTAGGAGGCCATGGCGGATCCGGAGCCTGGGGAGGCCTTGGCGGAGCAGGGGACTCGGGAGGCCATGGCAGAGCAGGGGACTCGGGAGGCCAAGGCGGAGCAGGGGACTCGGGAGGCCAAGGCGGAGCAGGGGAC